GAGAGCCAATGTAGTGTAGTGGTTAAGGCACCAAGGCTAGAAGCCGAGAGACTGTGAGTTCTAGTCTTGCCTTAGGCACAAAGCCAGTTGGGTGACCTTGGGCCAGTCAATCCCTCTCAGCCCTAGGAAGGATGTAACGGCAAACCACTTCCAAAATCTTGCCAAGAAAACTGCAGGGACTAGTCCAGGCAGTTGCCAGGAGTCAATACTGACTTGAAGGCATAAATAAACAATAAATATTTTTGGAAAGTTACTTCTGCTCTGGGCAATAGGATATACTGAGTGTGGTGCCCTCAAATGTTATGCTTCTTCAGATGATCTACATCGTAGAAAAGGAATTATCGTATACTGACCATGTTCTCATGACACAGTGCAAAACAAGCAATCACATTTTAACCTAGCATGTTATGCAAACTCAGAAAATTAAGGTAATGCCAACTGTGGATAAGCATGTGCAAAAATAGCCACCATAAAAACTACAAACCCATAATGCAGTACAACAGTGAGCAAAATATAGATGCATGAAAACATCTGGACAATTTGCTAAATATACTGCTCCAAAATCAGCAGTAAAACAGATTATCTGAGAAGATTTTAAACATGCTTAATTCCAGCTGCCACATAATAGCTAAATATTATTAATAATATCGTTATTAGGGACTTTTATTTTTAAGGCCCATTAGGAATGAAAAAGACAATGGGAATTATCTGAAGAAGAATTTCTTATGAGAACCATTGTTTATGCAAACTGAGAACATCATTCTTCCCAAACAAGCAAAGATGTCTAGACTTGGTAGCTTTTATGATAGCCCATAATCTTCTAATTAGCAGGCTTAATTGTTTAAGAGCCATTTAAATGTTTTGTGTTTCCAAAGCTTTGAGATAGGATGGATGGATGGATGGATGGATGGATGGATGGATGGATGGATGGATGGATGGAGATAGATATCACTGTGTATGTGTGTATATATGCATTTGCTTGTTCTGCTTTTCTCAAATGAAGCTTTGTTCATTTTGATTCAATTGCTGTTTGTTTTGTTTTTTAATATTGCTTTTCTGGGCATTTATAGCAAGCTGACCTTTTCTTGTTCTGTTCTATTTTCTTTACAAAAGGACATTATTTGTCATATCTTGTCATTAAGACAAATTCAGCCCATTTCCCAGATACAATGAAGCACCCAGACATGAATAATCCATGTGTGTGTGATATATGCTGGTATGTGTGTGTTTTCTTTAAATAAAACTGCCCAGAAAGAATGTTTCTCAGTCATCTGAGAGACTCAGATAAATAGTAAACTACTGTATCTATGAATAATGGCCACATTTTTAGAAGACTAACACTGAGTTTGTACATTGCGCTAGCCATAAGGCCATTTGTTTGTGGTTTAGCAGGTTCAGCAACCCCAGCCCATTGGGGTGTTTCAACCTTGATTTATGGCAGAAGCAGCAAGTCTTCCCAGATCAAGAAGTTTTGATCTGCACGGTGAGGGTTGCACCTCAAAAAATAGTAGGTGAATGCCAGTCGAATGAGATTTGATTTCATTTTCTTTACCTTTAAATGTAATTAAAAATATAATTAACATAATTAGCCTATGTTTATGTATTTCATATCCTGTGATGGCCACTTTCAAAAAACAAATGCCATCTGGTAACAAGAAGTTTTGAAAGCTGCCATGGAACCCTATAGCCAGTGGTAAATCATATTTTGTTTTAACCTCCTGATACACACACATGCACAAGTCTGTGTGTGGTACTATCTCTTCCTTCCAAACCTAGCTGCAAAACCCATTCTTTCTACCCAGCATTTGATTTACCCCTCTGTAGTCCTAGATAGCCTTAATATGGGGCCAAATGGAACTGGTCACAGGGTATTTCATGACTAACTCCCACCCCAGTCACAAGCAAACCTTTCGTTTCTTGCTTGAAACTTCTTCCTCCTTTCTTCCACGTCTTTCTCCCATATCTTAGATCACCAACTAAGAATGGACAGAATCCTTTCAATACTGCCTGTGTCCTAGGGCTGTACAGCGCTTTGGGCTTGGGTGCAAAAAAAGCATTCTGGAGTTTGCAAGTGGACTTAGTATGTATTTAATAACTTAGTTACCTATTTACAAATATTTGTATGCCACCTACTCATGCAACTCTAGGCAGCTTACAATATCCATACAAGAAAACATCCCTAAAAACATTCCAATAACTTGACTAGTTGGCTCCAGAATTCCCAGACTGGCTTGTGAAGCTTAATAGGCTTTTTGTTATATTTCCCTATTATTATCACTAATATTATTTTTAGAGAGCCAGTTTTTTTGTTTTTGTTTTTGTAATGGTTAAGGCACTGGGCTAGAAACCAGGAGACCATGAGTTCTAGTCCCATCTTGGGCACAAAGCCAGCTGGGGGTCCTTGGGCCAGTTCCTCTCTCTCTCTGGGAAGAAGAAGGCAAGGGCCAACCGCTTCTGATATCTTGCCAAGAAAACTGCAGGGACTTGTCCAGGCAGTCACCAGGAGTCAAGACTGACTCGAAGGCACTTTCTTCCTCTCTCCCTCTACACACACACGCATACATCATTTTTCTTTCTTCCTCTTTGCTTTTTAATTTCACTTCTTAACTTAACCTTGCTGTTTGTTTTTTCTGTTTTATCTAATATTAACTTAACCTTTGAAATTTAAGATGCAATCCTCTTCCTCTTAACTTTTATCCAATATTAACTTAAAAACAATACATACTGATGCCTTCATTTAAAATCTCCCACCCCAAATACCCTAGGGAAGAAGATTGCATCTTAAATTTAAAAGGTTGGGGGCTAATTTAACCTTGGGGGCATGCTATTCTGAATGTACATTCTATGTAGTGCCACTGAAAATACAATTTTCTGGGATTCCATGCCCCTGATCTCTGTAGGAGTGGGTACCTGCAATGTTTTCTTGGCTAGATTATACCTTGAGAAGTTGGTCTTGAAGGTAACGAGGGCCCAAGCTATATAAGTCTTTATGGGTAACAACCAGGGCCTGGACTTGAGCTTTGAAGTCTAATGGTAACCAGTGAAGACCCTGCAAATACAGTAGATGTTATTCTGCTGAACCAGCTGACATTGGACAGCAAGCAGGCAGCTGCGGTTTCTGGGTCATCTTTAGTGGTAGCCCCATGTAGAGCAAATTATGGTAATGTAACTGAGAGATGACAAGGGCATGAGTCCCAGTCCTCAGTAACTTGTGGTCCAGGAATGAGCATAACTGGTAGAGCGGCCAACATCATCCAAAGTCTGTCCTGTCTTGTTCCAGAAGGAGCTGTGAGTCCAAGACTAGTACCAAGACAACATTCCAAGTGCAAAGCCATCTACAGCCATAGGTGAAAAAGCCATAGAATGAGATAGTTACTCTGTCTTACTAGGTAAGATTCAGTCTCAGTCTGTTCCACCCCATCAAGTTTCTCATAGCCTCCAGGCATAGGGTCAGGACTTCTGCTTGGAGATCGAGAGCTGCGTACGACCAGCATACTCATGATACCAAATTCCAGACTGATAGATGGTCTTTCCCAACAGTCCCATGTAGATGCCTGCAATTCCTTAAAGCAGCTGCATTTTTCCCCAGGACTGTGCAGTTGCCATCGACAGTTGGAATGTGATCCTGGGAAAAGAGCATACAGGATTTAAGGAATTTCTGAAGTGTGCTGTGTGCACATCCCTGATGCTCCAAAGCACCTTCAGGTCTGAAGCTCTGCACAGTCCTACTATGTACCTGTTTAAGCAATAGCTATCAAGGTGTATAGTGTGGTATAAATAACATACAGCTGCTGCTATTAAACACTTGATAGATTGATGGGCAAGTGAATAATATTATAACCTTGATGCACCAAGGACTTTGCCTGCAGGACACTGTTCCCTGCAGATACATTTTGAAGGAATTTAATGGAAGTGAGCATCTAGTGATAAACTTACCATCACCAACCTTCCATTTTGTCTTCCATGTATTCTTATTAGGAACCCAATGATCCATCTGATGAAATGAACTGTACTTCATCAGTGCTCATGTTGTAGTAAATCTGTTAGTCTTTAAGATTTGCTTAGTTATTATTAAAAATAAATAATTTTTAGCCTACTAAAATGGTGGCTTTGATTGATCAACTTTTTAAAAAATTCTGTTCATTATAGCTGCTTATAAAAATGTAAGATGTTTAGCCTCATCTTACAAGGTTTACCCTCCAAGCAGAGCAGCCCTCTTCCAAAGTGATATTGACACAACGTTAGCAACCATCACTTAAACCTCAAAGTATTTTTTTTAATAGAATTATTTTTTTGTGAGCAAAATCTACACAGATTTGATTGCTTAATCTAGCAAGCTGTATACAATAAGGAGGCTATGCTATATTAAGAAGTATATCTTATTGAATCTTATTAAGGAGTATATCTTATTGAATTCAGTGGAATTTACTTTAAGAAGACTTGTGTAGGATTGCAACATCAATCAATTAAGACTTCAGCCCTATATATTCTTATTGAATTCAGTGGAATTTACTTTAAGAAGACTTGTGTAGGATTGCAACATCAATCAATTAAGACTTCAGCCCTATATATTCTTATTGAATTCAGTGGAATTTACTTTAAGAAGACTTGTGTAGGATTGCAACATCAATCAATTAAGACTTCAGCCCTATATATTTAACCTGGAAGTAAGTCTTTCAAATGCAGTGACATCTATTTAGTAGATGTGTATCTTATTATGTAATGGGTGGGAAGTGTGAGAGGTGATGTTAATTAGATTGGCTGCAGTAACTCTTTGAATCAATGCTG